GCCGTCGTCGTCGTCGTCCGCGCAGCGACCGGTTAGGCGAAGCTTAAACGCCGTCGTGGATGACCTGCTGTTGCGACAACTGCAGTATGACGGTATCTCGCTTAGCACCGCCATGCAGATGGAGTTGGGCTGCTATGATCGGATGTCTGTGGGATCCAACGTCGAATCGCCCACAGATCAGGAGCCACTGGACGTTGCGATTCCGCAGGAGATGCGCCGTGGCCTCATGAAGCCCGTCGCCGATCACAGTGACGAAGGTGACGTGATGCAGATGGTACAGAAGGTATATCCACGCACTTTTCAGTGGATCGTATATATTCTGAGTGCCTGCACGTGTACTGGTCTGCATTCAGAATCCACAGTAAGCCTTGATGAGGCTCTGTCGATGATGCTTAAACCTGTCACCGGTCCGTCTGCCATGGAACGGCCTAAAGGGCCACAAACAGTGGGCGAGGGATTCGCACAACCATCGTTCCTCACAGAGGTTGACACGCAGCACCAAGACGAGCAGCAGCAGCAGCAAGAACTTGATGCTGAAGAGGATGCCAATGATCGCGGTGAATTGGAAGCCTCCGAGGGAAGCCAAAACACGCCGCTCCAGCGCCACATGCGTCGAAGTGTAAACGCCTGGGCAGCTTTCTCGACGAGCGATGATAGTGAAGGAGCTGATGAGGTGAGGGAGGCGGTGACAGACGAGGAGTCCCACGAAGAGAATGAGGCGGAAGATGAGACGGATTATGTCGGTGACTCCGAGGAACCCTCGGCGTACACAGAGGAAGAGGGGGAAGAGGCAGAGGAAGAGGAAGAGGCAGAGGAAGGGGAATCTGAGGAGGAAGCAGCGGAAGAGGTGTACGAGGACGAGCTCCACCGCGCGCAGTACAGCCACCACGAAGAGGAAGAAGAAGGAGGGCAGAAGCGTCATCAAGAAGAGGGTGGGGAAATGCATGGGGGCCATGGACACCCGTGGGGCGAAGGACAGGTGCAGCTTGTGGAATTCACCACACAACGCGCGAAGATCCTCCTCACGGATCTCATCATCATCTGCGCACTGCAGCGTCTCTCACAAATGGTTGCATGCGGAGTAAAAGAGGAAATGAAATCNACAGGAGAAGCAGCTGGAGAGGCAGAGGTGACATCTGAGGGCGCAGAACAAAGTGCGTCGTCGGCTACGCTGCAACGAGCGGTTAACTTCATACTCTTGCTCAATCAGCACCCACTCGTGGCGTGGCGACTTGCAGCGGAGCGCGAGATTCAGAACATGAACAAAGACGGCTCTGATAAAGAGCTCAATGTATTGCGCGGTGACGGGACATCAGCAGCAGTGTCATCACCACCACCAACGGCAAGAGCAACCGAATCGCTACTGGTAACCTTTCGTCACGTCCTGGTGGCGCTGGGTTATATGCCGCTTCTCTTGGGCCGACAGCAACAAGAAGAAGAAGAAGCACAACAACAACAGCCGCAAGGTAGCAACGGAGCTGATGGACGCCAGGCCCATGATCAGTTGCTATCGTGTGTCGCACCGTTCCTTCGACTCTGGGGAGGTCGGGAGAATCAGCAGAATTTTGACAGGCTGGTGCCCGTGAATGCCTTGAGCGACACAGAGGACGAGGATCATACCGGGACAACCCCACCCGCTATTCCAACCTATACAACCTCATTTGTTTGGCTGGAAAGTGTCTTTGTCGATCTTCTTGACCAGGTGGACCAGCTTCATCGGTTGGAGTCGCTTCTTAAGGCAGGTGATGCTATGGAGTCGTCATCATTTCCCGCGGATTCTGCTATGACCTCACGTCCAGAGAGTCTGTTACATCGCCTTGTTTACCCTTTCAGCACCTTCATGCTGCGCCAACTCGATGAGTACTCTGAAAAGGGCCTGGTTGGGGAGTTTGACGAGGAACAGACACGCGTATCATTCCAATTGCCTCCCGTCGTGCCTCCCTCGCGAGGCGGTGGGCCGTCCCATCAGCAGCAGCAGCAGCAACAACAACAACAAGAAGGACAATCGGTTGAGCAGCAGCAGCATCAGCCGTATTCTGGAGGTGCCGTCACCGACCGGCGGAGACCTGGCTTGGGTGTACTGCGGTATATTATTCCCGCTCTTTCGGGTTTCAGGGGCCGTGATCGCGCATCTGCTGACGAAAGTGACAACAACGTCGACGCCACTCTCCCTGGGATGCATCACTCTCAGCATCAGCACCAACGGCGGAAGCAGAACCGGGGGCAACAAACACTCATGCTAGAACTTCCCCACGCTAGTACCGTTCTCTCACGCTTGGACGAACTGCATCGCCACGCCACCCCGTCCTTTCTATACCCACAGGAACGCTTCAACCGCTACGCGGCCCACCCTGCTCTGGTGGATGGCTCGTTGCTCAGTTGGAAGCCATTGTTCCAATGGACAATGTGCTATTGCCCAGTGACGCGCCGGCGTTGTGTGGATACATTCGTCTGCGGTGTTAATCCGGAAGGGAATCGGGTTTCATCGTCGGCGTTTAGAAACACTCCTGGCTTTAATCCGGCGCAGCTACTGAAGTGTGGACATGTCATCTCCAACGTGGCGCTGACGGAGTTGGTAGATCGTCTGCAGCGGAACTCGCGGGGCTCAGCGTCGTATGTGCAATGCCCGTACTGCTGTAAGGAGGTGGCGCTGAATGAGATTGTGATGCTTCGCTGTATCTACTGAGGTGTTGCCACAGCCGATGTTGTGGCTAAACTTACCACGACGGCTGCTGCTTGTGTGCTTGCGCACCTCCCTTGGCCGCGTACGCTCTGAGGGCTTTGAAGTCTCAGAGAAGCAGGTTTCCTTTGATTTTTTTTTTCGCCTTTATCCCTTTGAGGTCGCGGGAATGCGTCGAGGTCGTGAATGGCAGTTTCGCCGTGTGCTTTTTTTTTCGTTTTTTAGTGTTCTTGTCGCCTTCGCTCCCACCGTATTTGACGTTCTATGCCACTTTACATCCATGTATGCTGCCGGTGTGGGGGTGTGCCGAGGGGAGAGAGAGAGAGAGAGAGAGTTTCTGCGGCTGTTTCGCTTGCGTCGTCACACGGCCCTGCAGAGCCGTTTGGTGTGTTTCCGTTTCTCTGTGCGCAGGCGAGGCCTCCCCCTTCAGTGCTGGCAAGGAAATAGTACAGAGTGAGAAACAAAGAAAAAAAAAAGCCATTGGGCCTGGCTGTCCGTCAGCTGGCGCGTGCTTGTTTCGCCTGTTTGTTTCTCCCAGTCCGTTGCCCCATGCCTTCGTTATGCCCACTCTTCTCTCTCTTTTCTCCCTTTGTTCTTTGACACCCCCGGGTGCTTTCTGGTGCTATTTGTCTTGGATCAGTAACAGCAGCGCGGGCGCGACCCCTGGAGGAGAATACGAAGAAGCCGGGGGGCTGACCATATGTCAGCTGTCCAGTCGTCTGTCTCGCACGGCCAACATGTCCTCAACAGCCGTGTGCAGCGGTCAATGGAGGGGTGGTCGATCATCGAGAAGATCACAGACTTCACACACGCCGTCTGCCGCGTGAAGGACGGCAGGGGCTCTGCGATTCTGATCGCCCTGCCGAATCAGCAGCATGGTGGGCAATGCAGTGCAATGGACACGGGCCGAGCTGGACAAGCCCACCACCACCACCACCACCAACAGCAGCAGCAGACGAGGGGTGACGAGAACATTGGTGTGCTGCTAACCACATCCTTCGTGTTCCAGAATCGCGAGGAGGCACGAGGGGCGACGGTAATGTTCCTCGAGCAACCAGTCGCAGGAACGAACGCGCGGCAGGGGCGGCGTGTGGAGCCGCTCGAGGTGGCGGTGCAAGTGGACAAGGTCTTCGTCTGCTCCACCTCCTGCCCCCCGTCACGGCGGCCCACGCATGCAGGCCTCTCGTCGGCGTCGTCTCGCGCAAGTCAGTGGGCTGTTGCCGACGACGATGACGACGACGACACTAACGGTGCGTCAGAGGACGAGTTGGGCTACACCATGACGATGTGTGACATGACGCCGCTCGTCGACGGCGCTTCTCCTTGGTCGCCTGCCACCGCGCGTGGGCAAGACCTCTCAGCACCGGGGGACGCCGGCGGCTTTTCGTTTCTCCCGCCGCTGCGGCACAACTCCACCTCTCCGTTGTCGGTGGAGCGGATAGATTCGCCGAGTTCGACATTCGAGTCTGGGCTCTGTGGCAGTAGTGTTGGCTGTACCGGAATGCGGACATCAACAACCCAGCAGAGGGGGCTCCCGATTAGGCCCCTTCCACTGCCACTCCTGCTCTCGCGTATCCCCCCAGTTTGTGTGGGGGATCGCCACCTTATGATCACACACACCAACGGCATGGAACGGCACTATGTGGTGCAAGCAGTGAAGTATGTAGGGAAGGATTCATGCGAGTACGACTTCTTTGATCCCGCCTGTGAGTTCAGTAGCGGTGGCCCGATCTTTAACATGCACGGGGACTTTGTGGGCTTACAGCACCAGAGTGGTGATCACAGTTATGGCATCTTTATTTCCTCCATTGTGCGGCATCTGTTCCAATCGACGTTTCTAGGGCTTTGTCGTCTGCCGATCGTTGACGTTAGCAGTCAAACAGAGGAAATGTTTGACATGCGGGCAGTGGTACCAGATGAGGTGTTCAACCAGCCATTCCACATCAATCAACGATACTGCGTGCTAAATGTTGGCGCGGGCGATCAGCTGATTGAGTATGAAGACTTTAAGAGGCTGCGTCTGCGTAATGATATTCAAGGCTCCACGCAGCCGCCATCTCTTGTGGCACCAGATGGCGCCTCCGTCTGGCAAGAGTTCTACGCTGACTTTGGTAGTCTCGTTCACATTCTACACGCCTTTTCGCACGCTCCGAAGTTGGCAAAACTTGCGCTAGTGGAAATGACAAGCCATGAGCACCGACATCACCTACCGAACGTTGCATCGCTTGGTGGAATTGGCGCTGTACTGGAGATCATTGACGGCTATCCGCAGTATGAGGAGCTTGTGCTGGCCGCCCTCACAGTACTCGCTCGAACCTCACTCTACAAGCCGAACCGTGAGGCGATGTGGCGCTGTGATGGCGTTCTGACAGTGCTTGAGATAATGAATGAGTACTCCCACCATCCGTCTATTCAGCAGTGGGGATTTTGCTGCTTGTACAATGTGATGGCCGCCGACTCACCCGTACGAACGGAAGCTGTTGCTCTATTTGCACGCAGTCAAGGCATTGCGTTGGCGATTGAAGCTCTCCGCGTACACCAGGGCGAACGCCACGTTCTACGTCACACCGGCTTCGCACTTAGTTGCGTGGCAGACGAGGATATACGCTATGCGCATACCATGGTGAATGGTGGCATCGCAAAGATTATTATTGATTGCATGAAAGGCAGTAGCGATGACCCCTTTGTTTTTTTGGGGTTGGCAACACTGTTACACAAGTTGTTGCGGCACAGTCTCAATGATAGGGAGCTTCTTACGCTAGACAGCACTGTGTCGTCTCTACCATGGCAGTGTGGCGAGGCCGTTGAAAGGACAAAGACTTATTCCAAGCGGGATGCTGAACACGCTTCCGCCTGCAAGGATCCTGTGGGCTGTGCTCTGCTCGATACATTGGTGGAGGGAAAGGTACTAACGATCCTCGGAACTGTCATGGCCTGCGAATCGCAGGACACGTACTCAAGTGCGGCAGTGGCATTGCTCTATGAGTGCATTGGGTCTGTTGTCGTGATGCTAATGTTTCGCTTATTGGAACTAGAGGAGGAACTTGCCGGTAGTTCTCTTACAGAGACGTGCCGGCGGATCATACAGAATTTCCCCACTGAGAAGGTGCTGCTGCAGCAGGCGAAGAGAATAGTGTGCCTGCTTCCATCCTCCACCTGAGCGAGTTCCGACGTGGCGTATATATGCTGCCATTTGTTCTTGTCTGCCTGCCTGCCTGTCTATTTGGTGTATGTACATATATTCCTTTGTGGTGTGGTGTTGTGTTGTGTTATGTGAGTTGCAGATTCGTCCGGACCCACGCCGTGTTGCGTCCCACAAAAGCGAAACAACAACAACAACATCAACAAAAAACAACGGGATGCCTTGATCTCTTTGATTTCTGTGTGTGTGTGTGTGTGATTCTGCTCTAACGACTTGCTGCTT